AGACAACCTGAAGCATCCCAGCTGGCTTCCCTTGGCTTGGGACCCCCTTACATTTTGCATTACATCTGTTAGCCCTGTGAGAATATCTTCATTGGCCTGCAATATCTAAACTGGCACTAAACTTCCATGTTTAGGCACCTGAAAGCCTAACCCATACTCCCTTTTGCTCTGGTCTACACTGTATGAAATAAATCAAAGTATTAGCATTGTATATTAATTTCACAATGCTGTAAAAACAACAAGATAAGTAGGAAACTGAAAAACAAAAGTGGCCTTCTGCTGATTAAGATTTTAATACAATAGCATCTTCAACAAAACATTAACTTGATGTTCACTGGTTTGCATAAACATTCTTCCACCATACTTGCAAAAAAAGATTAATTTCTGTCAGCGGTACTGATTTAACACTCAAGCTGGATATCTAAGGATTCTGCTATTGTCTGTCTGCATTGTTGACTATTATCCCTCCTTGTCTGAGACCAAGCTGTCAAACTGAAGAAATATTGTGTTAGCTCACAATAGAAAAGGGGAGGAGGGGAAAAGGATGGCAGATCAGAGGCAGGTAAGCATAGAGAGATAAAACCAGAACACTGTTCTTTATCTGGTGTACAAAATAAGGATTATCAATACTGGCAACATAAGGAGAAAAAAATATGTTATACAGAATACTTATAATGCTATATTATTATGTCATACATCTAATAATATACTTACTGTAAGACTCTATAGCAGCTAATAACACTAAGCCAGGGATGATCTTTTCATGACACTCTACTCAAAAGCTGGTCTCCAGCTTTCCTAAAGATCTGACAGGTTGGTACAAAGAACAGATGGATGCAAACAGACCGGGCAGCACAAACAGTGGTAGAAATACACCGATAACTTGAATTCTCATCAAGGTTTGCAGACCTAACAGTGTAGGAGAGTTTCAAGGACAGATCACAGAACAGTACTTTCAGCGTATTTATGTTGATATCCTTGTAAGTGTTGAAGTGATGAGAATAAAAAAAAAAAACAACCACCAAACAAAAACCCCACATATGCGCTTGTATGAGAATTAAATTAAAGCATGTTGGAGTCCAGCAGCATGGGCCAAGAAAACTCGGGGGTTAGGATCTCGTAATGATAAAACATACCAGACAGGATGAAGAAAAATCAAGAAGGGTTATGAAGAGGAAATCAGTTAGCAATTTTTACAGCTAGTATTTGATGCAATAAAAAACGGCAATTTAGAAGAAGGGAACAAACTTATCAAAGCAACACTTGAGGAAAGCAGACATACAGCAGTGATAGAATAGAGTTGAGGTTCTTACTCCTACAAAGTACCTTCCTTTGCAGAATGCTAACCTGGACAAACTGATCCAATTTAGCAGATTTGATTTATCCCATCTCTCAATTCAAACTTGCAAGTTCCGCCTACTGCTGCAGCATTCTCTCATACCATCCAAGGAATCCAAACCAGATCTTTGAACTCGTGTTTGCTCTCTGATTTACCTTCATACCAAAGCGTTCTGCATAAGCAAGTAATTGAGTGAGATGAAAAGAATTCTAGAGACAAGCACTGCAGAAGTGCTGGCAGCTCAGACTCCACCTTGAACAAAGACTTCAGTCCTACTGCAAAAGAGTAGAAGGAGTTCAGAAAGATCAACAAAACTATGAAGAAGGAAAGTATTTTACATATTCTGAAATAAAACTTTATTAACTAATGACAGCTGTAGCACATAATTATCTACAAATACATGTGAAATCTAAGAAGAAATGAAATTATCAGAATAGTAAAAAGGCTATAACTAAAAGAAATGTCACTACAGGAAAGGAAAATGTAACAGCACCTTTGAGCATTGTGCGCTATTGAAATATGGAAAAACTTCCCAGGGAAAGCCCCATTCCCTGAAAAATTTGAAATCAGACTGATAAGCTGATTGGTGACAATATGCAAAAATATACTGGAGCCATAAAACTGCTGAAATAATAAAAAATTATATGAATTATCTGATTTTTATCAATATAATTTACATGAAAGATTTAACTGAGGTGTGAGCTGCTGTACAGGTCATACAAAGCACAGGTATTTTGGTAAGAAACAAAAGTACACTTATGTTCCTAACCACAAACCAAAACATTCTTCTATCCCATTTTAGCTTGGAATGTTGTGCAGCAATGATGATTCCACCAGGCATATATGTAGGTGGCAAACTATGGAAGAAATTAGACTGATTTGAAGAAAAAAGTAGGTGGCCTGTCATCATAATGCATTTGCCTGCCCCATCTCCTATTGCCATATAAACAATACTAAAAATAAAAGAAAATACCATTTTTAGGTTATTTTGAAGACTCCTGTGAAACTCTTTAGGCAGGATATTTGGAGCAGAAAAGGACATCAAATTGTTTAACTTCAGCTTTCAACTCTCAGTTCTTTGATCACAGGCATCTTAAAAGTTTCCCATGGAAAACATGCTACAGACAGTTTGATGTACACGTTTTACTCCTACATTTTTTATATGCATTCATTGAACCAACCAAGCACCAACTTCTGAAAGTAAAATAAAGAATGTGAATAGAAAGCTCAGATCAATCAGTTCTTTTAGCACAAACTAAATTAAGAATAGTGTTTGATCTGTTTGTTTCAAAATTTATACAGTGCTTTCAGAATTAAGCATCTTTCTGTCAAATATTGTTATCCTACCTCAGCCCATGAAAGGATTTCTGAAATATAGTTTCCATTTGACCTACATATCAGTTGCTCTTTTATGTTCTCACTTCCTATACATACTATTCTACTGCATCCACTAGGCATCCCTATGTTGCCATTGCGTCAATATCCTTAACTATGAAACTATGTAACAAAAACAATGTTACTTTTAATATTCAATGTTATTTATACATCTCTTTGTTGGGTGAGAAGCTTAAGAGTTACTTAATTTATCATTTTTAATCTCCTTTTTCCCTAGTGATCTTCGTATTCACTCACATCCCACGTTTCTTCACAAGCCTCCTGGCAACATCCCCCAGGCAAAGGCTTCCTGGAGCAGATTCTCAAGTGGAGCAATAACAGCTTTACATCAGCTGAGGATCTTTTTATTACATACACATTACTGATCAAAGGCAGCGTTGGCCTGTCTGCTCGGAAAAGCTGCAACTCCTCCTCCAAAATAAAACAGTCATACCAAAAGATCCTTAAATCAAAACAATTATATTCATCAGCAGAATGCAAAATTCTCAGCATTAATGGATAGTCACCAGCTGCAGTTGCACAAATTATAAAATGCGCAGTCACCATGTTTAGTGTTCCAATAAATATAGCTCCTCTCTGCTGCCATCTACAGAGATTTCAAATTTTTACAAAATCTACGATTCACTTCCAGAGATATATTTAACAGGATCTCAACGTGCCCCACAAACCAGCTCACCCCAAACATGTATTACCTCAACATATTAGAAGCCTGAGGCAAAGCTGAGCCCAAGTGATAGGTCTTCAAAAGGCATTCAGATGCTGCCACACTGCACGCGGAGTGATGCTTGATCCTAGGTGTTCCGCAGCCTGTGCGAAAGCCTCAGCTGGGAATGATGTGCTCATGTTCCCTGTTCAATGCATGGGAAGATTTAAGTTGTACTCAGATGCCCCTCAGAAGTCAGATGAGCTGCCAAAAGTGAAAAGGAGATTCTAAATCTCTAGTATGGATATCTCAAATACCTCTGCTTGAGTCCCCACAATATCTAATGCTTAAAGGTTGCAACGCTGTTATCTGACATAGCCGTTATATGCCCGCTTCAGACACCACATTTCCAGTTTTGCAGCTGGATGTTATAACTGGGTGGCTACAAAGTCAGTTCCTCTCTCTGTATAAAAATGAAACTCAGTAGGCCAAAGTGGTACATTTTTAAAAGACTAACACCTCAGATGCACAGCATAACTCAGTAAGGCTGCTCATCTGTATTAAATGACTGCGTGCCCATTAAGGATACAACACGGCCTGCTTACAGCCCAATGTGAACATGTCGTTTGATATGCAATTAATTGATCGCGTGTCAAAATAACTATTAGCCTCCAAGTCAGCATGCTCCTGCAGAGCATCCTCGTTATGGAGGTTTGAGCCCTCCTAACCTCTCCAAATGCTAAAATACTTCAATGTTTTGTTATAAAATGTGCTTCGCCGTGCAAGCTATCCCAGGCACGAAAGGCAACCAACGCGCAATTCCCGCAACCCTACCGAAGTGTTTCACAGGCATTCGCCTTACAGCCGCCGTGCAGCCCGCTCCCTGCCGCCCAGTGACGGGAGCGCGCCCGGC